GTATGAGGTCCCCAACTCTCTGCTTGCTTCCCTTTCCTTTTATCTCTTATAAAATAAAAGGTGGTGCAGGCCACACCCCAGGGAAACTCCCTTTTCATTGGATCAGGGATGTGACCTTAGTAAGGGTGTTACAATCCCACCCTAATCCTCTTTAACATAAAATTACCATCACAAAATGAAAGACAACCACACAACTGGGAATCATGGCCCAGCCAAATTGATACACACATTTTTTGGGAGGACATAATTCAGTCCATGACAGCTGGTAATACTGGAACTGAACCAGAGCTATTTTGTGAGAAATTACATGTAAGATCTAACTACCTGTAAGATCTTTACCAAATGTAATTGAAATGGTGGCTTTCAGGTGCAAATCCATGGCCTAATCCAAATATGAATAAGTATCCCAAGCCAGCCTCCTTGACGGAAAGACAGGTTTATGTGCCCAGGATGCCACCAGCAGGAGAGCACTAGAGGTCCCTCTATGTGTCTGTCCTTCAGTCTTATCCTGATGGAGATACAGGAACCTCACTCTCTTAGGACACAGATTCCCCAAATCTGAGAGAATTCCTTCAAACTTAGAGGAGGCATCTGTGAGTTCTCAGCTTCTGCAGAAGTGCCAGAAATCCCATGCTCTCTGCAAGTATCATCTGAAGAACTTTTGACAGGTCTAGGTGGTAAAAGTCCTGACAGAGGCCTTCCAGCCATACTGCACCTACCGGTTATTGAGAGCTGGCTCCCCCACAATCTGCTCAAAGTATCATAACCAGTGTTCAGAGAATGGGCTGTGTCAGAAAAGTAGCTCTGAGCATGTGCATATACTCCATAATAAGGAAGGATTTACCAGTCTTATAGAAGTCCTTCCCTCCCCACTTCCATAAACATAGTAACTTCTAAGGCAACTGTGATGTGTAAAACCAGTTTCTGCCCCAGTGTTACCCAATTATATTTTTTATAGTTACTTGGGGGGGTGTGTCCCATATATTTGATGAACGAAAACTGTAATGTGGAATACAGCATAACTTTAATTGAGGCATTTATACCAAATCAACAGAGTTTTAACCCTTTTGGCTTAGCATATAAAAGCTGGAGGAGACACAGAAAAGCATCAGTACAAATACTATTTCAATAACTGGATGAAATTTGTGTGAATAGTTTAACAAGGCTTTTATTTGTTCCACTGAGTAATCTTGACAATTTTGGAGGATATTCAGCATGTTTACATTGACATGGTTCCAGAAAATTTTCATTTTTTGTTTGTTGGAACTTGGAATCAGTAGCAAAACTTTGGACACTGGCATGATCTCTTTTGACTTGAAATTGGAGGTGGTTGAGGGTTAAAGGGAGTTCTTGGGTGATACAAACAGTAAATGTGCACAGCTGCTAATTGAAAGGTTGGACGTTTGAGTCCACCCAGAGGTGCCTCAGAAGGAAGGCCTGGCTATCTACTTTTGAAAAATCAGCCATCAAAAACCCTAGGGAGCAAAGTTGTACTCTGACACACATGGGGTCTCCATAAGTTGGAATCAACTCAATGGCAACTGTTTTTTTTTTTTTTTTTTTTGGTTTGGAGGTTAAAGAGACTTTCACAAAATCATTCTTGTAAGGTATTTCTCATTCCTTTGTTGAAGTGTCTTCCTTTGAAATAAAGACCATTTGCTTCTGTGGATTGATAAAAATTCATGTGGAAAGTTAACTGTATAAAATTACATCTGGCACTTTAATAGCCACATTGATAAAAGATTACTTTGACTGTGAGCCAAAATTCCTTATATGAGATATTCATTGCTATATTTATGGATATAATAATTCCTACCTCGATTTTATTATATTTTTAAGAGCCAAGTGAGTGAGTCAGTGTGTGTAAGAGGTGCTGGGGCAGTCACAGATGCTGATGTGATGGAACATTTCCACAGATGTTCGGAGCCAAGGTGCAATTACTTTAGATCAGAAGCCCTATTACACTAGATGGGCTTAAGAGAAACATCTATTAACCATACAATGAAACCTAATTAAAAATAAATTAATTTTGTTTTAATTTAGTTATTTATTGTGAAAGATAGTTGACAGAATGTCAACCTTCTGTTTTTTTCTCCTTTCTTGTTTTATAATGTCATATTCATCCTGACCTATGTGTTTCTTTATAAAATTCAATTACACTAAATTAAATCCAGCCACTTTGAGGGACAAACAAAACTGCTTTGATTCTTCTTCTAAGGGAGTGATAATAACACAGTCATGCTTATGAATATAGTATTCAAACTCTATTTTTTTTAAAAAAACTAAGAAGTATAAGAGAGCAATTATATTAACTCTGTTCACAGCAAGCATTTCAATATAACTTGTGTTCTTAGAAATGGCCTAGAAGTTATGGTGGCTTATTAGCTGTGATTCAGTAGTGGAACATTGTTAATAAGAAATTAATAGAATTGGAATTCTAAAATAGGAATCTAGAATTTAAGATTCATGAAATAATCCTTATCAGGAAGCCTAATCTGTATGCCCTAGGAAGGTAGATTTGGAAAACACTGAGAGTTTAGAAGAGAGTTGAGATGATTAAATGTTTCAGAAAACTGGGTAGAGGAATTGTGATTATTTAGCAGTGGTAAAGACAGTGCTGAGAGAGAACTCTTGGGAGGCCGTTGATTTCCTCATAATTAAGAACAGGAAGGATCTTGACTGAGTCCCAGATCTGTCACTAACTAGCTGTGAGATCTTAGGCAAGGCTTTACCTCTCTAAGCCTCAGCTTCTTCTTCTCTGAAATGGGGACCATAATACTTACTTTTCATTCATGGTATAAAAATTAAATGAGATAATGTGTAAAGCTTTTATCACAGTACATGGGACAAAGTGCTCAATAAATAATAGATGTTATTATAGTTTGCAAGCTTATGAAAGGCTCTTTATTTCCACTGAATTTATAATAATAGGAAGAAATAATTTAAAATTGCAACACTGAATTAGTTCAATATAAGGAAGAATTTTCTGACAA